GCGCCCGCCCCCCCGCCCTCGATGGACAGGCCGCTGGCAAGCAGCCATCCTTCCGAGGCGGTAACGCTCAGAAAGTACTTACCAGGCACTTTATTTTATGTACCTTACGGAACTCGGTACTTCCAATAGCCTTACGAGGGAAGTCCCATTGTGGCAGATGAAGACATTGAGGCTGAGAGGGTTTAAATGACTTGCTGAAGGTCACACAGCCGGGAGAAGGACGGGGCAGGGCTACCTTCACACGGTCTGACCATCACATGGTTCCGCTCCCTAATGCCCACACAGCATCGAAACACGTTCTGGGCTTGCCGTAAGGTGGGGGGCACCTTCCACTCCTTAAACCCTGGAATCCACTCCCATCCCTGCTGAGAGGTCTCACCTCCCCAAGGCACTCAGTAATATTCGCTCTTCTCTCTTTCATCTTCAATGTGCCTCCACACCAAAGTCCTCTGGTTCCTGGAGGAGCTCTTTCCTGCCACCATGGCCAGAACTCTTTAGAAAGTTCACAACGCTGTTTTCTCTTCTCCTCCTCTCTACTCCCTCCCTACACCGGGATTATCTAGAAGCTTCTGACTTCACCATGATTCCCAACCATCCCCATGTTGTTTATTAGGCTTTTTTTTTTTTTTTTAATTATTTTACTTGATTTCTTAGCCTCTTTTACACTGTTAACCATGACCTCAACCTTCAAACCTGATCTTTCTTTGGGAACCTACCTTACTGCCGCCTCTCCTGGTTCTCCTCCCAGCTCTCTGGCTACCCATCCCAGTTGGGCTCAGGTGCCCCTGCAACTCTGCCCATCCCTTAAAGGTTGAGGATTTCCAGGAGTGTCCTGGGCTCTGTCTTCTCACTCTGGACACTCTCTGGGAGGGATTTCACGAATTCTCAGGACTGTGATATCTATACACGAGAGATTCCCCAATCTTTACCTCCTGCTCTGTTCTATCTTGTGAGCTTGAGACCACATACTCAGCCTGCCAGTGGTCCACACCCTCACCACCAGGAGGAACAGATTCTCTGCAGGACCCGGCCATGTGGAGTTCATCTGCCTCATTTCTCCCACTAAATAGTCCAGCCCTCTGAACTATTGACTCTTCCTCTTCTGAGCCGCCACGCGGCCGGGCCCCCTCTTCCGGGAAACTCCTTAGCCCTCCTTTTCCTTGGCTCAGTTCCACTCACCCTCCAGATCTTCATGTGGATATCACTTCCTCCGGGCAGTAGGGAGGCGTCAGGCCTGGGTGAGGTCTCAGCACACCCCCACCCCATCAGAGCACCTATTCCATTTACTGCAAGGACCTATTTCCCCTATATCCTCCATACACTAGTTTACTATTTAATCCCCACTAACTAGGGTAGTTCTTGATCCATGCCTTGTAGGCATTCAATAAATAGGGTCGAGTGAATGAAGGATGAATGAATGAATGAATGAATGGGAATTGTAGCATCATTTAATCTGGTCTCAGAACCAGATGGTGACCCCATAACTCCAGGAATTCATGGTGAGATGGTGAGATGGGGTTGTGATCTGTGAGCCCTGCTTCCTTATGGGACCTCTTTGCTCAGGGCAGGTGATATTAGCTCCCAAGAACTGAAACTTAAGCCCGTCTTCTGACTCCCATTCATGTCAACCACCTTGACTACCAAGATGCTTACCACTGGCCTGATCCCATTCTCATTCTTTCTCTGAGCGTGCTGTCCTACTGTGTGCTCTTGGTGCCACTGTTGCCTGTGCCCAATACTGGTCACCCACCGTGCATGGGGGTGGGATGGCTCAATGCGCTGAATGCTATGGATCTAGGAGTCTGTTGCCTGACATTCTTCAGTCCCAGGGGGAGCCTTCTCTCTGCAACTCCTAGCTTGCAGTCTCTCCGGATCCACACAAGCAGCCTCAGACGGCATTCGTGTGTATTTGTGTGTGCACGTGTCTGGTAAACCACAACTCTGGCCAAATCTAGCCTCTTCCGAACCAGGGCAACCTGTGGGGAATGTGGCGACAGTTCATCTCCTTCCTCCTGACCAAGCCGTTCCTGGCTGGGGTTGCCCAAAGGTGCTACGCGTGTAGAAAAAAACACAAGCCTTTCCACTTACCACCCAGATGCTTCTAGATATTGTTGTGTTTGTGGATCGAAGTCATCTAGATGTTGATTGGCCCTGCAGAAACTTCTTGCCCGGATGCTTGTTGTCATATAAATTAGTGACAGTCATCTTTCTTTTCACCTCCAATCTGCCAGGTCTTTCCCTCCACTGCCATTCCAGAAGGCGCATTCCGGGTGCGATTGTCATTCCGGAGCAAGGGTGGCTGACTCATCCCAGCAGAGTTCTGAGAGGATCTTCCCAGAGGATGGGCGGCAGGACTTGGCCCCCTGCCAGCCAGCAGAACCCTTGGTGCCAGCCAGAGGCCCCCTCACGTCCCCTCACACCGGGGCTTCCCTAGAAGTTCCCACATACTGATGCCTCTCCCTGCCGCTCCCAGGGGGGCCAGAGCCTTTTTGGTAGAGAAAAGCTACTATAAATACAAAACAAAACACTTAGGATAAGACCCTCTTATTCACTAACCAATGCACTTTTCCTGCGCCATCTGTGATTTGCAAGTCCTTTCATGATAAGGAACTTGTTACAAGTTCCTTAAGTTCAAATTTATCATATCAAGGGGCGCCTGGGTGGCTCAGTTAACTGACCGACTTCAGCTCAGGTCATGATCTCACAGTTGGTAGGTTTGAGCTCCGCGTTGAGCTCTGTGCTGACAGCTCAGAGCCTGGAGCCTGATTCAGATTCTGTGTTTCCCTCTGTCTCTGCCCCTCCCCCACTCATGCTCTGTCTCTGTCTCTCAATAATAAAAATGTTTTTAAAAATTTACAAATTTATCATATCAAAATAACTCTCAAAATGGACTGCATTGATCAGTATCAAATTTGCCTTTCTGTTTATCAATTTATCAATAGACTGACTCCATAAATATTCACTTTGCCTTTACCGTAGGACAGGCGTTGCAGCATATGATAAGAACACCAAGAGAAAGAGACTTGAACTGGTCCTCACATTGCCTACCATCTGTATCAGTCCACGACGGCTGCCATAACAAAATACCACAGAGCGGGAGGCTTAAACAGCAGAAATTTATTTTCTCATCGTTCTGCAGGCTGGAGGTCCAAGATCAAGGTGTCAGCAAGTTTGACTTCTTCAGAAGCCTCTCTCCTTGGCTGGCAGATAGCACTCTTCTCCCTGTGTCCCCACTTGGCCTTTCCTCTGTGGGCACTCCTCCCTGTGTCTCCTCCTCTTTTCACAAGGACACGAGTCAAACTGGGAGCACCTGGGTGGCTCAGTTGGTTAAGCATCTATCTGACTCTTGATTTCGGCTCAGGTCATGATCGTCTAGACCGTGGTTCTAGAGTTCGAGCCCCACATCCGGCTCTGTGCTGACAGTGTAGAACCTGCTTGGGATTCCCTCTCTCTTCACCTCTCTGCCCCTCTTCCCTGCTTTCTCTCTCTCTCTCTCTCTCTCTCTCTCTCTCTCTCTCTCTCTCGCTCAAAGTCAATAAGGAAACTTAAAAAACACAAAAAACAAAAAACAAGGGCACAAGTCAATTTGGATTAGGGCCCCACCCTAACTGCTTCGCTTTTATTCAATCACTGCTTTGAAGGGCTTATCTCCAAATATGGTTACATTCTGAAGTACTGGGGTTTGGTTGGGCCTTGAACAGATGAATTTGGCGGGGAGGAGGATAGTGGGACACAATTCAGCCCCTAAAACCATTTAATTGGAGAAGTGGAGAAATTAAAATGTGATTACAATTAAGGATACCAAGGACTATGTTAGAGGAGATACAAAATGATTCTGAAGCATCAAATAGGATACCTCGCCCAGCGTGGGGGAGGATGGGGAGCAGTCAAGGAAGGCTTCCAGGAGGAGGAGACGCTGCCACACTGAACCAAAAGTGGCACACACAGAGACCTAGAAAGACAGTGCAGCTTGTCTAAGCAATTCCATTTGACCAAATCATAAAGCACAAGAGTAGAAGCAAGAAGGGAGACGAGAGAGGACGGTAGGGCCAGGAGAGAGCCACCTAAAGGAGACTGGGCTCACTCCTATAGCAATGGTGTGTCAAAGAAGTACATTCTGGGGATGGGTGAGCGTGCTTACACAACCAGATGTGGGCTTTATAATAGATCATGGCATTAACTGGGGATAGATCAGGGCTTCTGCCAGACTAGGGGCTGGGCAAGCAGGTGGGAGGCTGACAAAATTATCCACTTGAAAGATGATAAAGACCTACAGTGACCCATTAGTGGGGTGGACAGAGAGGATGGGGTTCAGAGAGGATCAGCACTGAAACTGAAGCCACGAGGAAAAAGCAGTTTCCTCCAGGAGAATATGCAGAGTGAGTAGACTGGAGACCAAGGAGGAAACCGTGGGGTCATTAGCATTTAAGGAAAGCCTAACAAACAGGGATACCACCCAGGCTGGCAGCAACATGAACTGTGAACACAAAAGGAGAACGTGTCCAACTGTAGCACACACGTCCATCTAAATGGGGCGGCCACAGCCCAGCTCCAGCAGAGGCTACCAAAGGTGCATGTCGCCCAGGCGTGCCCATCTTTGGATTCTTCAAGAAAAGTGATACTGGTGAACCCAAGGGTGAAATCATCCCGCTTTTAAAGAGTAGAAAGCAATTAGAAAACCCTAAACAGGTCAAGCAACATGAACACGTGGGCTGTATCTAATATGCAAATCTGAATTTAGGGGATTAAGCACCACCAACGTGACAGGGAAGGGGGACAGCAGAGAGAAGGCAGTTTTGTGGTGGAGTGGATTGTCACCCTGCCCTCCCTGGGAAGGAGCCCGCATCACACCTCATTGACATCAGGCTGGGCCATGTCGCATGCTTTGGGCAATGGAACGTGAGCACAAGGGACCTGTGTTATTTCCTGGTGGAAGCTTCAAGAGCCAGTATGTGCTTCTCTGTGATCTTTTTTTCCCTCTGCCAGAAGAGGGAACACATGCCACAGAGTTGTCTTCATCAGCCCAGGTCCCAGAATGAGGAGGACACAGAGCAGACCTGTGGCCAACCTACAATGAACATGGAGCACGAGTGAGACATAAATCTCTGCCTCTGTGAGTACTGAGACCTGGGGATAATCACTGGGTTACTGCAGCGTAATCTGGCCTATCCTGACTGATGCAGTCACAGAAGCCCCAGGGGAAAGGGTTCTCGATGCATGTTGTCCAATGCTGCAGAGCCGGCTCAGAGAAAATCTGCATTCCCAGGCAGGATGGGAGACAGACAGTGGAACAGGATCCCTGAGGCAGCAAGAGGGACAGATGAGTCTCGAGGGAGGGGACTGGTCTAAGACATGAGGAGGGGCACTTCTATTTCCTCCATGAGACTTAAGGAAAGAAAGACAGCATGGGTGTGGTGCAGGTACAATTTTAGGAGACAGGTTGGTAGCAAGTTGGGTGGCTTGGAATACTATAAAATCAACAAAAAATTAAGAACCCTATGCTATAATAATGAGGCGCCTGGGTGGCTCAGTCGGTTGAGCGTCCAACCTCAGCTCAGGTCATGATCTCGTGGGTTCGTCGGTTCGAGCCCCGCGTCGGGCTCTGTGCTGACAGCTCAGAGCCTGGAACCTGCTTCAGATTCTGGGTCTCCCTCTCTCTGCCCCTCCCCCACTCACGCGTGCACGCTCTCACCCTCTCTCTCTCTCTCTCTCTCTCACTCATAGAAATAAATAAGTAAATAACCATTGAAAAGAAAAACTCTGTACTATAATAATCACAAGGAAGGTGGTGTCACTTTCGCCTGGGGCAATAAAGGTAGATGTGAAAGAAAAGAATTTGAACCGGATTTGAGGACAGATACTTTATTAAGGTGCCCTGGCTACCCTAAGACATAAGTCCCAAATGTGGTAGCTTGGCCCAGTAGTAATTTTTTCAAACACATGAAAAGTTCAAAACCGCGGGGGACAGACTCTGTGCTACTCCCTCTTTCAGGGATAACACAGATAACACTCTGCCGTCTTCCATATTTGACGTGCATAAGAGCTGTTCTGATATTTACATACAGTTTGCAGGCAGACGAAGACAGGAGGGGAGAAGTAAATTGGCACGTTTGTATAAGCAAGGCCTGGAAGTGGTGCAAATCAATTACACCCACTCCTAACTGCAAGAGAGGCTGGGAAATGTAGTTTGCTGTTAAATGAACAGATAGCCAGGGTCTGCCCAGTTGGAGGACTCTGCTTGTCAGAAACAGACCAAAGGAAAGCTCAAAGCAGAAAAAAACGGCATAAGCAGGGGCAGAAATTTTCAATATGTATTCAGAGACTAGAATTAATTTAAAATTGCCTACAATATAGAATTCATGCAGGGGCCTATTGGGAGAGAAAGCTACAAGGGAGGCTGGATGAAAATTGAACAAAGCTTTACATACCTAATGAGAGTATTAAGTTTATCGTAGCCATCAAGGACCTAACAAAGACTCTAAGATGACATTTCACTAAGCGAGATTTTTCAAGTAGGTAGAGGTGAAGCTATCCATTAATGGGGAGCAAAGAGATACATGGAGCAAATATGGTTAAATCTTGGTAATCCCTGAATCTGGATAAGGAATGTCTGTACCTTAGTAGGTTTGTTTTGAAAGTCCTAATGATAAAAATGTTTTTAAAAGATAGTAAGGGCCCTTCAAAAAATTTTTCATTATGTATGCCACAAGATAATAAAACCAGTAAGGAGGGAATAGGTTTTCCATCTGTTTGTTCACTAGCTTGTACTGTGAAAGCTACTAGTTGATGTGTACCCACTTTGGAAACTCTAGAACCATGAAACTGTTAGTCAAAGGTATTATTTGGGGGGAATCTATCTACTACTATCAGTACAGGAATGGTTTATCCCTGTGCTGAAAATCACAGGTACTTGATTCACTGTTTCTTCCCTGAATGTGTCAGAATTAACTTGGCAAGCAATGCCAGCCTTCCATCAGCATTGTAAATCTTCCATCAGCATTGTAAATTCCGTAGATAGGCTGTGATCAGAAATGAATTCTTTGAAAGAGTCACAAACTCTTCTGTAGCATCATGATTTGTTGTTTTTCATCACTTCTTCTTAGCCTGAGTCCTACTGGAATCACCAACACTGTATTTGTTCATAAATCTCTTTTGTTTCAAGGCCAAAGATGCCATCACCCTCACATCTTTTTGCTAAGAAACACTCAAGGAGGACACATTTCAGGTTATTTCCAATGCAGGCAGATGCAGGGCTTTACCTCCAAACATTTAGGATACTTTAGATTTGTCAAGAATTTTTAACAACTGCTTTTTTCATAAAAGGATAGAATTTTTCTGGGCTTATACTTTCGAGTTCTGGAGAGATAACCATGTTATTCTTTGCAAGCTAGCAAGACATTTTTTTTTGCTTTTATGGAGACAGATGATGTCATGGAAAATACACACACACACGCACAGTGATCAGACTAATGTGAGCACCAACAGCATTTAGCAGCTGTTGACCTTGGGAAAGTTACATAACTTCTATGATCCTATGACATGAGAATAATAATACCTATTACTATGATCATTATGTGGGTGAAATAAGACAGCACGTATCAAGTACCTAACAGTGCCTAGCACACGGTTGGTGTTATGGTGTTAATACACGTATGTTTCCTCACATATACGCCACTTCCCCCACATACATTATGTTCAGATCCTGGCCTTGCCTCTGATGAGCAGAGCACCGTAATCCAAATGTGAAAGCCTACCTTACGTCAGGTGGGGTGGCACCGCTGTGCTGCATGTGTGTGCCCTCATGTACAGATACAGCACTTCCTGTGTTTTCTATTCTTTGCACCTTCTTTCTAGCACAGTCCCGTTGATGATGATTGGCCCCTTGAAACTTCACCTATGCCGGCTGCTATGCCTTGGTGGAGACACACAATTGCCTTCATGGGCTATTAAGCACCAAGCACAACGAAGAGATATGATGCTTCCAGGGGCCTCTGTAGAGGGACAGCTGAAGAAACTGCTTATTTGACCTTACCCTGCTGCCTCCAATCTTGACTTTTCCGAAGATGGCAGAGTCCTTCCAGTCAGCGATTTTTCTGGTTCTTCCTATTGTGAGGTCAGCTGCAAAGTTTTTCTCCCATGTTTTCTTTTAGGTGTTTACAGTTTTACGCTTTACATTTAGATCTGTGATCTATTTTAAGTTAATTTTATATAATGTTAACTAGGTTTTCAAGGATGCCTTTTATCAGAGGAAGTTCCATTCTACTCCTGGTCTACAGAGAGCTTTTTTCAACTATAGGTGTAGGATTGTATCCAATGTTCTTTTTTCCTGCATCTATTGAGATGATACTATGTTTTTTTCCTTTTTAGTTTGTTAATATGGTAAATTAAATTGATTGATTTTTGAATGTTAAGGCAACATTTGTGGGATAAATTCCACTTGGCCATGATATATTATCTTTTTTTACACATTGTCAGATTAGACTTGCTAAAATTTGCTTTAAATTTTTTGCATCTATATTTATGAGTGATATGGGTCTGTAGCCCTCTTTTCTTATAACGTCTTTACTGGTTCGGTATTTGGGTAGCACTAGTCCCTGACACTGTTGGTAGGCATTTCTTTCACTTCCATATTCTAGAAGAGTTTGTATTGTGGGTATCATTGCTTTTTTTAATGTCTGGAATAATTCCCCAACAAAATGATCTAAATCTGGAGTTTTCTTTATGGAAAGATTTTAAAACTACAAATTCAGTATTTTAATAAACATATGGCTATTCAGGCTATCTATTTATTTTTAAGTGAGTTTTGGTAGCTTCTGCCTTCCAAAAAGTTTTCCCATTTCAATTAAGTTGTGAAATTGGTTGGCATAATGTTGTTCATAGCATTCCCTTCTTCTCCCTTTTATTATCTATAGAAACTTGGGTGCCTGGGTGGCTCAGTTGTTAAGCATCTGACTTCGGCTCAGGTCACGATCTCGTGGTTTGTGAGCTCAAGTCTCACATCTGTGAGCTCGAACCCCACTTCAGGTGAACACAAGCCCTGCTTCAGATGAGCCCCACTTCTCTCTTTCTCCATCTCTCTCTCTCTCTGTCCCTCCTGAGATTCTCTCTCTCTCTGCCCCTCACTCACTTGCACCCTGTCTTTCAAAAAAGAATTTATATATATATACATATATATGTATACACACACACACATATAAATATATATACATATATATGTGTATATACATACACATATATAATCTCTAGTGATACCACCTTTCTCATTCCTGATATTGGTAATTTGAGTCTTCTTTTTTTCCTGATCAGCCTGACTATACTATATGTTTATCCATTTTATTGGTTGTCTCAAAGAACCAGCTTTAGGTTTCATTGTTTTTCTTTTTCTTTTTTTCTACTTCATTGATTTCCAGTCTGATCCATATTATTTTCCCTCTTTTGCTATGCTGAGTTTAGTTTGCAGTCATGCATTTTAATTTTATATATGTAATAAACACACATTGTTATCATTTTTGTTTAAATAGCAAATATCCTTTAAAGAGACTTTAATAAGAAAAAATCTCACTCATGAATTTCTGGTACGGGAAAATTCATTTTTATGTACAGTCAGACTTCTGACATTATTTTCCTCTGCTTGAAGAATTTATTTTAAAATTATTTATAATGTGAATACGCTGGTAATGAGTTGCTTCAACTCCTGAATGTCTGCAAAGTTCTTTATTTGCCTTCATATCTTAAAAGATATTTCTGTGGAGTATAGATGCTAAATTGATGGATTTTTTTTCTTTCAGTAAAGATATTGTTTCGCTAACTCCATCCCTGAATAATTCCAAGAAGAAATCTGTTATTATCTTTCTCCTTCTTTATGTAATATGCCCCTTTTTCCTGGCCACTTTTAAGATTTACTCTTTATCATTGATGTTTTACTCTTTATCATTGATTTTGAGCAATTTGATTAGGATGCGATGATGTAGTTTTTATGCAGTTTTCTTGCTCTTGGGGTTCATTGAACTTTTTGAATCTGTGAATTGACAGTTTTCATCAGATCTTAAAAACTTTGAGCCATTGCTTCTTCAAAAATCTTTCTACTCCCCTCTACTTTGGAGGATTCTAAAT